GGATCGAGTCCCGTGTTGGGCTCCCTCCTCAACGGGAAGCCTCCTTCTCCCTTTCCCTATGCCTGCCTCTCTGCCTGCTTGCGATCTCCCTCTCTCTGACAAATAAATAAGTAAAATCTTTTTTTAAAACAAAAAAAGGGGGCACCTGGGTGGCTCAGTTGTTGAGCGTCTGCCTTCAGCTCAGGTCACGATCCCAGGGTCCTGCGATCGAGCCCCACATCGAGCTCCCTGGCCTGCAGGAAGCCTGCTTCTCCTTCTCCCACTCCCCCTGCTTGTGTTCCCTCTCTCACTGTGTCTCTCTCTGTCAAGTAAATGAATAAATAAAATTTTAAAATAAATAAAACAAAAAAAGGTATTCTGGAAGAGAAAATGTGTAAGCATAACAAAAATCATTTTTAAGTGAAGAAGGTTGAAGGAGATTGTCTCTAGCAGATATCAAACTATGAAGCAATGAATGGTAGCTGAGACTGGTTTTGGCTCAGAAATAAACAGACAGACAGACTGATGGAACAGATCACAGTCCAGAAAGAAACCATGTTTATAAGGAAATTTAGCATACGAGAAGGAGGTAAAATCCCAAGTGAGTGGGGAAAGTAGGATTATCTGACAGGAGGGGCTTAAACCCCCGGCAACATTTGGAAAATAATACCAGATGAATACATCCTCAGCAAAACCAAAAATATGCCACAGGGGACCAAAGAGCTAAGAATAACATCTTTTGTCTAAAAGTACTGGGGGGAAAAATAAACCATATAGGGGGATATGTTTATAGCCTTGAGATAGAGAAGCATCAAATGAAAATGGCATGAAAGGATGGGTAATGATTACTTAAGAATTTTAAAATTCTATACCATAAAAGAGGCCAAAAACAAGACTAAAGTACAAGCAAAATACATAAAGATTAACATTCAGAATATATATAAATGTCTTATAAATCAATAAGGAAAAGACAAACCACCTAAAGGAAAATGAGCAAAGACTGTGAACCGGTAACTCCCCAAAGGAGAAAGCTAAGGCTTGGTGATGGGCAGGCCCACATGCTGTTGGGCGATACATCGGTATCACCTTTTTAGAAGAAAAATTTGGACACATCTATTAAAAAAAAAAATGCCTGCATACCCTTTGATACAGCATTTTCAGATTTCTAATCCTGGAAATACTTAGAGAAACGCTCTATGCACCATGAATAAGGATGTGTTCGATGTAGAGACAAGGTCAGTTCAAGCGAGCCCTGCCACCACAGGGTGAAAAGAGTGTCCCTGGGGAGGGGACTTGGAGGCTGAGGTTAAGGCCCAGGGCCTCAAGGAAGCTCAGTGCAGGTCCTCCTCCAGGCTGGGGAGAGGGGAGACAGGCTGGGGCAGAGGGAACCAGGGGAGGCTTCCTAGAGGAGGTGTGAGTCTTAGCAATGAGTAGACATTAGCCCAGGGATAATGTGTGGGAGGATATCCCAGGAGAAAGACAAAACTTGTGCAACGTCTGGGAGGCAAGAGAGAACTTGGCCTTTACATAAAATAAGGAACAGCTGGGTGTCACCAATCTTGGGGTGCTGAGAGATGAGGCTGGAGAAGCAGGTGCAAGCTGAGTTTATCCCACTGGTGATGAGGGGTCACAGAAGGGAGAGACGGAGCAGTTCCTTAGGAAGATGCTGAGGCACTGGGCTAAGGGTCTGGAGAGGAGAAGGCTGGGGGCAGTGAGGAGAGCTGTAGGCAGCAGTGGGAGAAGGAAAAGGGGGTGAGTGGGCATCAGGGGATTCGAGGCTAGCTGGCTGTGGGGGCATCAAGAATGACTTCCTCGCTTGGGGACTGACTGGCTGGTGACATCATTCATTGATGCGGCAGTTTCATAGGAGGAGCGGGCAGCTTGATGCCCCATTCATTTTATGGGGTTCCCTATTAATCAGCCCACGAGGGAGAATGAGCAAGGGCCCAGGCTCTCACAGCGTCTGTGGGCTCTGCTTTCATTTTACCACCCTGTTGGGTGGGAGGTGCTCCCCACCTGCCTACACCCTTTCCCCCATCCAGACCCCTACACTCTGAGGAGAGGAGGGGGAGCTCCTGCTGTCCCATCATTGTGTCCTCCCCATAGGGTTCCCAAACCACCCCAGCAGTTATTTTTGTCTCTGGTTAGCACTTTGGAAGCCTGAGTGATCCAGGTTCTGGTCGGTCTCAAGCTGACCCCTTGGGGACAGATGGGACTCAGCAGGGTGCTGAGGACCCAGTCTTTAGGGTTAAGACCTGCCCAGGCTCGCCCCCTCATCTCCCCCAACCTGAGGAGCTGTGGGTGGTCTGCCCAATGGAGCCCAGAGCTGCACATTCCAGAAGGCTGAGCCAGGAAGGGGATTCATTGCCATCACGGAGGCCTGGGGTCCTGCAGGAGCCCACAGGCCCTGCCGGCTGGCTTTTGACCTGTCCTCCTCCCTACCCTCTGCTCCCCCCAGCTCCCATCACTAGGGAGCCCATCATAAGGAACAGAGCCCAGGTCCACTGAGCTGCCTGGCTGGTATGCCCCAGAACAAAGCTGCCTAGTGCATCCGGTGATCCGTCGCCCCCTCCCCCGGCTCCGGCCAGCAGAGCCACCTCAAAGTAACCTACATGGATGGCATGACGTGCTCACCCCAGAGGGGCTGCAACAAAGGGAAATGAAGACACATCTGCAGGAAGGTCCCGAGAGAGAAAACAAGGGACACCGGGGGGTGGGGGCTGAGGTTCAACTGGCATGTTCTTCCTGCTTCCTCAAACCTCCAGATTTTGTATTCTGGAAAACAGCATTGCGCCAAAAGCAAAGCAGCATCCTGGAGCCCAAGGCTTCTGGGTCTCTTTTTACCGTTTCTTGCAGAAGCGTGGACGGCCACACATGGGGGCCAAGAGAGCAGCCCAGTGCTGCAGGAACAGGACCTGCTCGGGCAACACTGGCGGGGGGGCCGGGGCGGGGGCTGGCCCGCTCTACTCTGCCCTCCAGCTCCTCGTGGGCAGCCCTCTTTCTTGACAGACTTATGAAATGCCAGTATCCAGGGGTAAAGTGGAATGAGCATGGCACTCTCGTTCCAACCCCTACGACACAGCACGGGGAGGAAGGGAGCCCTCATGTATTAGCGGATTAGGAAATTAGTATTTTCTCACTGATTTCCACAGGTCCCCTAGAGAGGCATGGCCAGCCCCATTTTACAGCTAAGGAAACTGAGGCCCAGAGGAGTGCCAGAGGCAGCGTGTCTGGTTTGCATACCTAGTCAGGGGCCCCAGTGGGGTATGGAACCAGCCCTGAGTGACCCCACGGCCTTGCTGCTCAGCAGTCCACAAGGGCCCACTTGAAAAACTGGGGATGCTCAGTGTTTGTCCCATGTGGAGAGCCTTCTGCCCTGATCCTGGCCGCCGTCCCATTAGTTGGGCCCAAATGCATATTCACCCCACATCCACTGGCCTGTGAGGCAGGCCTGGAGTCTAGCTCTCATCACTCGTCCCTGGGGGCCAGGCGCCTGGTCTCTGTGTGGGAGGTCCTGTCCCCATGACTTGGGGCCTGGCTCTGGCCTCTGCTGCCTTTGAGCCTTGGCTTCTCCAACACCATTTTGCTGCCCAACCCCCCCCAGCATTGTGGTCCTCTGTGAGGACTCCCACTGATCCAGTGCCAACCCCGACCCCACCACCCAGCCAAAGTGACCTCTGGGGTCCTGGACCTCCTTCCGCGGCAGAAAATACTTATGTTTGGAGGGTCCAGACAAGACACCAACGGGAGGCAGAGAAAAGGTTTTTTGAGCTGACCCGGATGGGAAACCAAGATAATCCTCCTCCAGCTCCAGGGTGTCTTGCCCAGAAGGGTCCTTGGTGACTGTCAACACAATCACCCTAACCTGTGTCCATCTGTAGGATGTAGCCACGTGTGTTTGGGAAAAGAATTCAAAGTTTTATAGTAAAAAGAAAAACCATTAGGTGAGGATAAAGGAAAAAGAGCCCCGGAGACTGTGGTGTTTGTCCCACTTCCTAGCACAGAGTTCCTAAAGCTCTCGAAACTTCCTGAGTGATGGGAGTGTCTTTTGTCATGCATGAGGAGCCCTTCCCCAACGCACCTGAGTTCATACTAAAGAGGTGAACCAGTGGCGCCCCTAGAGAGCTTCAGGATGGGTCTGGTCACCAGAAAGACCCATGTAACTCGAAGGTGGAAACGTCCAGCTTGCCCACAACCCCACCTTGGGAGGCAAGAGGGGCCACCCATGGGGTTATCGAAGTTTGGAGGGCTCCTGGTTGTTGAGCGTGCGGGTGTGCTGGGAAGGCGGCGGGGGTGGGGAGGGCATGGGGTCTCTGCACCGCCTACCCCCATGCTTTGCCCTTCGCATCTTTCCCAGTTGGCTGTTCCTGGGTCGTGTCCTTTATAAACAACTAATTATCGCAAACACCGTGTGCTCCTGAGTTCTGGGAGCTGTTCCAGTGAGTTCCAGAACCTGAGGGGCTTTGTGGGAATCCCCACATTTGTGCTCAGCCAGTGCAGGTGCGGAGAGCCTGGGACCCCCATCTGTGGCTGCCCCTCCATGGGGCGGTCCTGTGGGGCCGCATCCTTGAGCCCGGGGTCTGCCCTAACTCTGGTACTCAGCGGGAAGGAACTGCTAGGCCCCTGGCTAGTGCTTGAGAACTGGCAGACTGTCTGGGGGTAAACCACTCAGGGGTCGGTTGGCTCTGTGGGTTGCGACACAGGGGAAAAGAGAAAAATTGTTGTCCCGTCTGCCATTGACCTCAAGTCTGTCACTTTCCCTGTTTGGGACTCAGTTTCCCCTTGGAACCCAAGGGTGGGGAATAAAGGTGCTCTGGGAGGACTCCTGGTCCCTACCCTCTTTGCTGTGGCTTCCCAAGGGGCTTCATTGCTCAGGTTCTGAAAGCTACTTCTTGACTTTGAACTTAAACAGTCTTGGAGACACAACAAAGTAGAGCAAAGGCAGGAAGATCAGAAAGGGCAAGGCGGGCCCTCCGGAGGCTCCTCCTCCCCTTTCCTCCCCTGGGCCTCTGCCCCCTTACCTGCTCCACACAGTCTGAGATCTCCGGTGTGCAGGGCAGCGACCCCGCGCTCTCCACCGACAACACATCCTTCAGCAGCTCCTCACACCCTGTGGACAGACAGACAGCGCAAGCTCAGGGCCTCAGCAGCTCTGCTTCTGGTTCCTGGGCCTTGGGTAAGAAGGGCTGTGGGGGAGGCACAGGGCCCAAGCCTCCAAGAGACCGGCTGATCCTTCCAAGGCAGAGATGGAGTACTGGGCCATGGAGGAGCTGGGCCAGGACTCCACGGGGGGGAACAGAGACAGGTCCCTCCCTCCAGGCATTCTCCCACAGGGATTAACCCCAACAGAGAACACATGAAAGAGAGAGTCCCAAATGCAGAAGGCAGGTCAAGTGCAAAGAGAATCAGGGAGGCCTTCCTGGAGGAAGGGCTATAAGGCAATATTCCCTGCCTGGCTCACAGAGACACCAAAGGCACACATTCCCCTGAGCCTGGGGCCCTCAACGGCCCTGCCAACTCCAGGACATCTAGGAGAGGGTCACCCTCAGGATGACACTACCTCCTGCTGACTCGGTTACACAGGTGGCGTCCCTCCACTGTTTCTGAGCAAATGCCCCGGTATCTTTTCAGATAAAGGCAGTCAAACCTGCAAAGCGACTGGTGTATACACACACTGGTGTGGTTGGTGGTGGTCCTCCAGCCAGTTCTATTCAGAAGACCTTAAGGGGGCCATGTGCAGCCCCTCCCAACCTCTCAGCTCCCTTCACATCACACCCCACTTTCAAGGAAGTCATTCCTGCCTCCTTCCTACCCTCCAAGAACCCTAGCTTCCCCCACAGAGAATGGCTCATTCTGACAAGAAAACATGGTTTCCTTCCCAGGTGGCAGGAAAGCTTCGAAGAGGACACAGCCCACCTGTCTGGCGACCTAAGCCGATTTCTCCAGACAAGCAGTTTAGTGGTAAGTGTGGCCATGAGTGGCCTCTGATGCCTGGGGTTCTCTCACAACTGCCTCTGAACTGGGGAAAAGAGAGGGATGGTATATTGCCCCTTCAAGGGGGAGAGCTGGGAGGGAAGAAGAGACTGGGGGGTGGGTGGGGAAGAGAGGGGAGGAAACAAAGGAAAAAGAAGAGAAAATGGGTGTCTGGCTCTGCCCACGGTTTGGTCATCCTGGAGGGAGGTGACCTGGAGGAGGGTGCAAGGAGGAAGGAAAGCAATCGGGAGCCTTTCTCTGTGGGACAGACGACGGGAAGGGTAGAAGTGACCGTCCCACTGGTTCAGAGACCCTCCCATGGCCCCTGCATGGCTGCGGCAGCTGCAGGAGCCCTGGATCCTTCTCCTCAGCACCGCTGGGAGGAGCCCCAGCTGAAACCCCAGTCAGGCCAGCCTCTGCAGCTGGACAGAAGCCTGAGAGACTCCCTCCCATGAAGCTCTCACCTTTCATGGCGAACACCCCTCGGCAAAAGTCCTTGAAGTTGATTCTCCCCAGGTCGTTGGGATCCAGGTATTTCACAAGTTTTTCCACCTGTGAGAGGGAAGGAGGGACAGGTGTGAGGTCTCCCCCCTCCCCAGATGCTCATGGAGCTGGGGTGAGGCTGACTGGGGAGGCTGGTTGGGAAGGACACCAGAGGTCCTCTTCTAGGCCCCCACCTGCATGCTGGGGTCAGTACCAAGCCCCAGACAGCGGCGGGGTCACTTGATTCTGCTGAGGTCCACAGGCAGCACGGGGAGCCTCCTGACAGAGCTGGGCTCATGGAAAGTCAGTGCTCTGATATTTTTTAACCTAGTGGTTTCTGTCCTACAAAAATAGTACACGCTCATCGAAGAGACTCTGGAGAAGGGAATCAAACCCCGCTGTTTCCCACTTAGTGGTTTCTTTCCTACGAAAATAGTACAAGCTCCTGTGGAAACTCCAGAAAAGAAAATGAATCAAACCCCTCTGTTTCCCACTTTCCTTTGCTTTAAAACACATAGATTTAACCACTTTTTTTTTCTTTTTTTTTTTGGTAGTTCTGAGAGACCCTTGGTCAAATTCCCCTCTGTCTACAAGGCGGAAATAATTATGTCACATTTGTATACATTCTTTAAAATTTTTAAATGACAAATCAAATAAGATTGAAGGCAAAACCAATTATGGTCCAGACCGTGGCTACATTGGCGGAAGTTTGTAGGGGGTGGTAGGGGGGATTCCAAGGGCGTTTCTATCGATCGATCTGTGTGCTGGCCACATATTGAAACCCACAGAGCCTTCTGCTTGTGGCCGGTGCACTTTTCTGTTCTTTGTTCAATTAAATGTTTAAAAAATTAATAAAGTTTGTAGTAAGGCTTTTTAGCCCAAAGGATTCAGCCATTCTTGATGTCTGGAATATTCTCTCCCACTCAACATTTATCAGACACCTTTCCATACTGTCCCGAGGTACCACCCGTATTTTTAGCGGTTGTCAGATCTGCTGCCCAGTGGATAAACCCTCATTTACCTAATCACCCTGAATAGTTGGGCAATTTTTGTTTTCCCTCTTGTCGTTATAATTGATTTTGGGGGCTTCTACAGCCGTGTGGATGACCGGTCGCCCCTCTGGCTTCTCAGATCCTTGACTTTCTCATTGCTTTCTCCCCTACCCACCCTAGCCGCCCCAAGGACTCGCCCCTCTTCCATGACCACTCACTGAAATGGCCCACTCCCTGGGCACATCCTTCCTCCCTCCCTTTCCTGCCTGCCATGCAGTTCTTTGGCATCACCTGGACTGTTCCCTCTCATGTACATCCAATCCGTACTCAAACACCACGTCCTCGAGTCACCTTCTTTCCCACATCGTCCCTGGGATCCTGCTGGTCACCAACATCAACATCTCCCTTCCTGGCTGCTGAGGTCTCCTGATTCATCTGCCCTCTTCCACTTTTCAGCCCCTCCGACTCATTCTCCGCTCCAAGTGGATCATGTTATCACTTCCTCTGTTTAGCACCTTCCAATGACTATCCACTACCCTTAGGGTAAAATCAAAACTCGGTAATGTGGCCTACAAGACCCTATATGATCTGGTCCCTTCAGCCCCATCTCCTTCTCTTTCTGTCCCTCACTGTATTCCAGCCACACCGGCCTTCAACTCCTCAAGCAAAACAATCTCTGTTCTGCCTCAGGGCCTTTGGACACACTATTTATGTGATCTCAAATACTCGTTCTCTCCCCATCCCCATTCATCACCTGACCTTGATTCATCCTTCAGGTCACTGTTTGTACCTGTATTAAATATTTCTCCCTGAGACAAGTCTGTCCTTGCCACTCCCATCTAATTAGGGTGCACCCTGCTCTTACCCTGTACTATACTTTTCCTTCAAACCATTTGCTGCAATTTGTAATTATATTTGATGTGATAATTATATTAATTTGTATCTTCCCCCTATTAAGTAAGCTCCCTGAGGGCAAGGATTATATATCTGGTTTTTTTTTCTTTTTAAGATTTTTTTTATTTATTTGAGAGAGAGAAAGTGAGGGACAGCAGGAGTGGGGGGAGGGGCAGAGGCAGAGGAAGAAGCAGACTCTCCACTGAGCAGGGACCCTGACGCTCAGGGCTCCATCCCAGGACCCTGGGATCATGACCTGAGTTGAAGGTAGACACTTAGCCGACTGAGCCACCCGGGCCCCCAAGGATGTCTGTTTTGATCACCACTGTGTACATGGTAGCACCCACCATGACTGGCACATAGTAGAAGCTTTACAAGTATTTGTTGAAAAACTGAATATGAATGGTTCTACAAATCCTCTAAATTTTAAAGGCTTTTGATAACAGTTGCCAAATTGTTCTCTGTAAAGATGTCTTAATTTAGTCTTCAACCAGAGCCACTGACTTCAAACTCAGGAGCTCTGGGTTTGTTTTCCTAATTTTTGGCAATGGCCAATTTCTTAAGAACTATCTTTCCTAAGGAACTGGTCCCCTTTTGCTCCCTGCCCCCACAGCCCCGCACCTGAAAGTCAGCTTCTCGATCTGTCTTCCAAAATTACCCTGTAACTTAGTGGCAATCTTCCTCGCCCCTCCCCCGCCCATAGCACACACACAAGCATTCGTTCCTTCAGTGGACGCTTCTGTATGCGGGGCACTCTGTTGAGGGCCGACGGCTGACTGCACCCGTGGTCACACAGGCACACAGGTGCGCATGTGCGCGCACGGTTGTACGCTTGTCGTCAGGCACCTTCCCTCTCCTCTCAGGAACCCCCTTCAATGTGTAAAGCATCGCAGGGCAAGGACGAGCTCTTTCTCAGACCCCTTTGGGGCTGGGTTGCAGATGGTGGATGTTGGGGCACCGTGGAAACTAGGGTGCCGCCTGCAGGTTACTCTTCCCGTCCATATTGTTAACACTGCCCTGGCAGTTGCCCTCGCGCCCACCCTACCCACCACAGGCTCCAAAGCCCAGGCCATGCTGGGGTCTCATCCACTCGTTAAGAACCGTGTCTCCCGCATGCCCACAGGACATGTTTCCAGTGGTGGCAGCTGCAGCCGGGGTCTGAAGCCCTGGTCACCGCCAGTGGCCTGGCATGATGGGCACATGCCCTGCTGGCTCTGGAAGGCGAGCAGCGAGCAAGAAGGGACTCTGCACAAGCGTCTCTACTCCCTCCCTGAGCTTGGTGGCCCTGCACTTGGACCTTTATTCCCGCTGACCCTGCCCCTTCCACGAGGGTGTGAGTCTGGGGATGACAGGTGGGCAGAGCCTATACCCTGGCTCTCTGTGACCCCCTGAACCTGGTACCCACTGGGACCTTGGAATTCCAGGGAAGAAAGAGGGTGGCTTTCTGCCAGCTCCCACCTCGGCCAGAGCCTCCTGGGCACTGCAGCTGCCCCTGTCCCCTACTGTCAACACAGCCCGAACGTGGCTTCTCCGAATAGCAATGTGCAGGCGCCACCTGAGGCCTGCCCTCTCCCCTACGCCCAGCCGGAGTCCCAGCCCCCTACCTCTGTCCTCTCGCCACCGGCACCGTGAGGACTGCGTGAACACATGCACGGTACCTCCCAGCCTCCTGGCACCCTCCCCCCTATAGTCCTCTCCAAGGTCGGGGGCTATGCCTTGATTATCTCTGAGACAGTCAAGGGTGGTGTCGTCACCCAGTTGAGTGGCCCATGTGGCGCCCCAGCCTCAGGTCCGCCGGAGGGGCGGCAAGTAGGCTGGGTGTCTGTCACCCCTTGAGGCGGGAGACACTGGTGGGGTCAGGCCGTCCAGACCTCCCCCCCATCTCCAGGGAAGGCCTGGAGCACAGGTGCAGGGGTGTTTGGTGACAGGCAGATAGAGGAGGTCCTGAGGGCCGCTGCGAAGTCCCTAAACCAACCCCCACCCCCGACCCCGCCACGGGACTCAGAGTGTGCGGGACAGACCATGTGAACAGCCACGCAGCCCTTTAGAAGGCGCAGGGGACCACTGTAAGATTGCCCTAACAAAAATAGCAATTATATGAATAAACACGGTCGCTGTAGGTTCAAGAAGTCCCTGAATAAATAAGAACAGAGCTTCCGTGGAGCTTCCTAACTCCTGCTGGGTTCGTGGAGGGCTTGGAGGGATCTACAGCACCTAGTCCTCCCGACAGGATCAGTAGCTACAGTCACAGCCTCCCATTCTACAGCCGGGGAGACTGAGGCTCACAGAGGCTGGACGTTTAGACAGTCACGGTGGAGTTGACTCTTCCTCGAACCCAGGTCCCACTGGCCCCAGAGGACCTGCTTCTTAGCCTACTGCTCTCCCAGGGTTTCCTGCTGGGGTGTCGTCTCATTCCCCCACCCTCCACGTATTAGAGCATCTTTACCTGCTGTGGCTGGGGACCCCTCGCCCTGATGGCCAAGCGTCTCAACCTTCCTGGACACCAGATGACATTTTGCCAATGCCCCCCTGGCCTTCATCCTACATACAGGGAAGCCAGGTCCCAGACAGGGCAAGGACTTGCTCAAGATCCCCCAGCAAGTACAACAAATAGGCCCCCACATGTGGTCTTCACGGTGAAGCCGCAGGCCACCCAACGTGCCTCCCAACGTGCTGCACCCATCACCCGTGGCTGGGCTGCCTGGGGGCCTCCGCTGGGCTCTCTTCGGGAGGAGAAGGGCATCCCGGGGCCTGTCAGGACCCTGCAGGAGCTGTGCTGTCACTGAAACACCCACGGCCGGGCTGTGGGGCCGGCTGCCGGGGAAATAGGTCGTTTCCCCGATAGTAAAATATTGAGCTTTCCATTTTGGGGCCACTCAATGACCAGGCTTCCCCTGCTATTTCTGTTGCCTTTCTCTCTGGGCTGATTCTTCCCCGCCCCTGCTCGTTCCCCCTGCATTCCCTCTCTCCCAGCACAGACCAGGCGGTGTTAAGAGCCTCCCCACCGCCGCTGTCTGATGGATCACCAGCCAGATGCTCTCTGAGCTGGTGCCCAGCCACCCACGCCTCCCTCATTTCCAGATCTGCCAGCTACATGGGCTCAAGCGAGCCATTTGCCTCTCAGAGACCTCAACTGCCTCATCTGAACAAGGGAAATGAGCCCCAGTCGGCAGGTGGGTGCCT